GAGCAAAAATCCCAGGACCACACGGGGGGACCTAGTGAATGACCTGCAGAGAGCTGGGACCAACGTAACAAAGGCTACCATCAGTAACACACTACGCCGCTAGGGACTCAGATCCTGCAGTGCCAGATGTGCCCCCCTGCTTAAGCCAGTACATGTCCGGGCCCATCTGAAGTTTGCTAGAGAGCATCTGGATGATCCAGAAGAGGATTGGGAGAATGGCATATGGTCAGATGAAACCAAAATAGAACTGTTTGGTAGAAACACAACTCGTCGTGTTTGGAGGAGAGAGAATGCTGAGTTGCATCCAAAGAACACCATACCTACTGTGAAGCATGGGGGTGGCAACATCATGCTTGGGGCTGTTTCTCCACAAAGGGACCAAGACGACTGATCCATGTACAGGACAGACTGAATGGGGCCATGTATCGTGAGATTTTGAGTGCAAACCTCCTTCCATCAGGAAGAGCATTGAAGATGAAACGTGACTGGGTCTTCCAACATGACAATGATCCCAAACATACCACCCGAGCAACGAAGGAGTGGCTTCGTAAGAAGCATTTCAAGGTCCTTGGGTGGCCTAGCCAGTCTCCAGATCTCAACCCCATAGAAAACCTTTGGAGGGAGTTGAAAGTCCGTGTTGCCTAGCGACAGCCCCAAAACATCATTGCTCTAGAGGAGATCTGCATGGAGGAATGGGCCAACATACCAGCAACAGTGTGTGCCAACCTTGTGAAGACTTACAGGAAACGTTTGACCTCTGTCATTGCCAACAAAGGATATATAACAAAGTATTGAGATGAACTTTTGATATTGACCAAATACTTATTTTCCACCATAATTTGCAAATAAATTCTTTCCAGATCAGCCAATGTGATTGTCTGGATTTTTTTTCTCATTTTGTCTCTCATAGTTGAGGTCTACCTATGATGCCAATTACAGGCCTCTCTCATCTTTTTAAGTGGGAAAACTTACACAATTGGTGGCTGACTAAATACTTTTTTGCCCCACTGTATATATATATATATATATATATATATATATATATATATATATATATATAAAATCCTTTTTTTATTTACCATAAAACACATAAAATCAATAAATAGTGATATATCCCTAGGACAACTGTAAAATGTTTTCACAATGTTTCAAAGTCAGCTCATAACTATTGACAAATCATTGCAGGTTGCTCATTACATCACAATGCATTTCATAGAACATTGTCCTTGTGATCATTGTCAGCAAATACAATAAACATCCAGATAAGTATAGATAAGGGATGTAGAACATTATATATTGCTCTGTGCTAGCATTGAGAGCGGTATGGCTACTAGTCTTTCTTGCACTATCCTGCTAGCTTAAAGTGTTGCTAAACCCCGGACCCTGCATTCACTATATCTGGTCTCCCACAGTACACAGAACATGGAAATGCAATTATTTTAGTAAATATAAACTGCTAAATACCTTTTCCCACCAGCAGTTAGAGCAGTCTTGTGACTTCTATCAGTGTCCAGATGAGCACTGGTTAAAGCTTGTAGGAGGAGATTTAATTCTCCTATGGCTGCTCTATGAGGCGACAGGACCCCTGACCCTCTGTCTGCATAGTGCTAATTGGCCCTGTGCTGATCACATGCACCCTCCAAAAGAAAAAAAAAACTCTCTAGCAATACACACTAAAATGAGCATGCACAGAATGACTCCAAGAACTGTTATCAGGAGGTGAGCCTGGGATAAAGTAAGATGAGGAGGATCAGAGAAGACAGGATCAAACAGCACTTTTACACAATGCAGAGGATTAACCCCTTAGGTTCCACAGTGAGTATAACAAGCATGTTTTACTGCATATACAGACTGATATTACTGATTTTACTGTTGTGGGTTTAGTAACACTTTAAGCCTAAGAGGAGCCACAATTCATCATTCTAATAATATTTAACTGATCTTTGCAAACTTTGAAACATATTTAGATTTTTTCCAACATGCCTAGTAGTAATGAGCAAAGTGATCTGTGCAGGTCAGAGTTTGTGGCAGATCTGGACATTCAGCTTGTAAGAATGTCATTTAAATGCACTTCACAAATGTTTGCTTTAACATCTAATTTTGGAGTAAATGCACTTTTTTGAACAAAAATCACATTAACAGTTTAAAATATGTTTGTTCAAGAAAAATTTTCCCCTACGAATTTTATGCAGTCAAAAATGAATGTCGATTGGACACCAATAATGATTAGTAAATCAAATGAACTTTCTGAAAACAAACATTTTTGAACAAGTGTATATGACCATTGATTGGCTGCCTGAATGTACAGATGAACTTCCAGCTCCCAGCCGCTTTGGAATAGTTTCTGCTATAGACATCAGCTCTGGTGTTGTGTCTTTGTTTCATTCATCTGCTTAGTCAGTTACCAAGCACAGCCCATGCAAAGGTTGGACTTAGCCAAAATGGGGTTCTGGGTGGAAATCACAGGTTGGGTGTCTGTTTTAGAGTCAAAAATAAAACTTACAGCCATGTATCCTAAGAACAACCCTGCAAAGATCCATGATGCTGCAACACAGTGGGAGCTAATTTTAAAAATTCAGCTGTCACTTCTATCCATGAATAAAAACAAAAATAAAGTGAACGATACTGTGGCTTAAAAAAATTACCTCTGTGGACATAAAAAAGCAGACTTTTTTTTAGCAAAATGTTAAAACTGCACAGTATTTTTAAAATAAATGAACAGGTGGCAACACTATTTTATCTCAATTTTGAAACAACATGTAATGGGAAAACATATGCTTTCACGTATTTTTAAATCAAAATGAACTGTGATATGATATATTACACAAAAAAATTCAAACATCAATAATTCTGGCTTTCACATACATTTATATTGCCAGGGATAGGATTATGGTGTTATCCATAGTGGTCACAAGTGAGCTGTATAAAGTGTCAATCTAGTTAGAGACACCACATAAAATACTTTGTTAAACTAGAACTGCTGCCTATGAAAATGAATTCCATGGAAAATAAATTGGTGCTAAAATATTTTAATCTTCAACAATGTGCGATATGAAAACATATGATTTAACATATGGATAACTGTCATTTTTCATGTACAGTCAATAAACAAATGGGAAAAACTTGATGCATAAACAACGAAATCTAACGATGTATTTATGGAAAACAATTGCTGATCTATTCACCTGTAAAACTGCAAGTACATTTGATCTGTGCGAATTGTGATATATACACTCTTTATATGGTTTGTGCCAATGCATTTAGGAGCAACCGTAGTCAGAAAGTAAACGCAAGCAATTGCTAATAATATCCAAAACACACTTAGGCTCAGTTCACACTACACTCTAAAAAATAATGTTTTGGCTCAACAAAAAAAATTAACGCAACAGTTTGCATCAAGCTTTTTAAGTTATGACAATGTCTGGTGAAATTAAGTTGAAGCAACAAACTACATTGCATTGAGGTAATTAGCTTTTCTGATAGAAATGAATGCATTTTTATTTACCGCCAACTTAATTACTGGCATTATAAACACATGTTTTTAAGTTGAGTACTTAAACATATTAAGTTAATTCAAATAGTTTTTCCAGTTTTTATAAGAAACCTTCAAGTCACGTGTACTTAATTGCTACAATTATGAGCAAGTTTTTTAAAGTTAAAAAGCAGTTAAAAATCAAGTTGATCCAAATTGATTTTCTGTATTAGTTTTTAGCTTTGTTTTTTTTATACTAGCTTTCAAAAATGAATTAATCAGTTTAGGCTTACACTAGAATGTGTTGCAGAAACCTCGCAATCTGTGTGCATTTCGCGCACCGCATTCAAATCGCACTACCCTTGCAGTCTGCAATGGATGTCAGTGTTGCAAACACAGTGCATTTGCCGGCACCAGATCGCATGGTACAAAACAAAACATGCAATCTGGTTGCACTGTGGTTCAAAAATTGGTGCATGCATGTCTTTGGTGCAATGTGGTGTGATTTGAGCTCATTCAAAATGAATGGGCTCAAATTGCATTACACTGAACCACATGTGAATTGCACAGGAATGTGTTGCAGTTCCTTTGTGATTCACATGCACTTCATCGTGTGAACCAAGGCCCAACAATCCAATTGTTAAACAATTGACATTTTTTGCACACCAAAATCAAATCCTTAAAGTTGTACTGATGAATGAGTAAGCACTTTGCATTAAGATTTTTTTTAATATTGTCTGCCTGGTGCAGAAACTGTTTCTCTACAAGACCTTTGCTATATTGTGCAACAAATTGTGGCAATATAGTGAAGCTATTGGAGGATATTGAAAGTTGATATTTTGTGAGCTTTCTTACAATTTGCTATATTCTTTCCGCATTACCCTGCGACAACCATTTTGTGAACTGAAGTAAAAGTGAAAAATGTCATCTGAGTATGACTGTGCTATAGAACACATACGTTCTTCAGAGAATACTGTACTTGAGACCCATTACTTTAGCACTGGCTTTCAGTCCATCAAGTTCAAGGAACAGTTTTTCAAACAACTGAGACTTGATTTGTGTTAAGTGAATGGGGGTGGAGACTTGCAATGCAGCTCTCAATGTAGAGCAAAATTAAGTTACCAAGTCAAATTTATTAAGGTACCTTAACTTAAATTTCATTGTACAACAATGAATGCAGAAATGTAACTGTACATGACACACAATATTAAGTTGATGTAATTTCCAACATTATCATTTCAACACAACTCATGAAAGTAGGTTTTTAAATGAAAAAGTTTATTTAAACCAATAAATTAGGATTTTTATCTTGGAAATATACATTTAATTAAGTGGTGGTAACAGGTCGCTTGAGTTATTTTTTAGAGTGTAGCTTTGTCAGCAGGCGTCAGACAGGCGTTTGGGAAGCGTTTTTAACGCTTCTCAAATGCCTATGAAAATTCTGCACATGGCAGCACACAGTGCTGTTCACACTGAAGCATTAGTGTCACGTTGTGTCGTGGCAAAACTGATGCCTCGTGTCCAGGGGCGGACTGACAACTCATGGGGCCCCCAGGCAATAGGGGATCATGGGGCCCCTGTGTCCTTGCCCAAACTCAAAAAAGCCTATGAAAAAGGTACCAGGGGCATCTCATGGGGCCCCCTACTGACCCCGGGCCCTCGGGCAGTGCCCAAGTTTCCCAGTGCTCGTGTCAAGTCAGGAGGAGTTGAAGCCTCCCATTCAAGTCTATGGTGCTGCTCCACAAATGCCTGGCTGGCATTTCCTGTGCGGTTGTCACGCGGTTGCGAGGCGGTTGCAGAGTGTTTATACCATTTAACTTCATTATAGGCGTTTGTGGTGCGGTTTTAACGCTTGACAAACGCCTATCAACCGCCTCAAAACCGCGGATGAGGCATTTGGGGAAGCGTTTGAGTAGTGTTTGAGGAGCTTTAAAAACGCTTCCCAAACGAATGTCTAATGCCTGCCAAATGCTATAGGGGCATTTGGCAAGAGTTAGAAATAAAGTCAAGTGTGAACAAGCCCTAACACTGTCAAAAAGTCCACTTACTATACCTTTCCTCCAAGATTGAAAGATTATGTAAACCCAACATTTCCTATTTCTGATATGTGCCTCCTGTACCATGTACATGTATGAAAAAGTATCCTGATCTCTTTGTATTGCTTCTTTTGTATGAAATCCCTGGTGTTCCTGCCAGTTCCTCTCTGCTTTCCGATCAAAAACTAACCACACTAGGCACAAGAGCACAAGGCGGTCAGTTCTACGGCTGTGTAAGCGCTTACCCCTTCTGATGGTGTACGTGTGATACGAAACGCGCGTCAAGGAGGAGCCCCTGCTAGCCGTGACGTCAAGCCGCCGGATCAGGGAGGTCCGGCAGCCACCCACTATTGTCAGCTGCTCAGTGTTATGCTGTACTCCATTTTTTCACATCCTTAGTGCACGAGGATTGTTTTTACTACAGTACCTAAGAAGTGTGTTTTTCTGTTTTAATCTTCAATAAATTCATTTTTAGTTTGACTTAATTACTACACTATAGGTACTTTTTTTCTGCTCCACATCGAGCATTTAATCCCCCAGGACCACCAGGTGACCATCCCAGGGCCCAGAGGAGAGCTGTAATCGGCATATCCCATCTTTAGCCAGACCTATCAAGGGGACCCCCAGATGTTTTATCATTCGTCATGGAGTCATCTATTCCAGGCTACATTCCATACATACTGAAGGGACCTCTGGTGTATATGACACAAATACGCAGTGTTATTGCACCTCTGGTGAGTGTGCAATTTACCTATTATTCCTACACGGCACCGGATCACAGTTGTCACTGGGATTTTAACAAGTCACTTTTTCAGTTTAATCGTGGTTTCATCACCATCAGATATTCTGGACTATCATTTGCACTGTGTATTATTTTATATTATTAGTGAAGGAGTCTGATAACTCCACCATTGCTGTTTTGTTGAGGACTTTATCTACATACTGTGTTGTCTAATATTGTTTATTTGAGGCATTTCTGTACTATTTCATATACAATATTACAGGTATGCCTATACATTTTCGTTCCTAGTGCTGCACTATTTATGTTTATATCATTTTGAAGGTTTTATGGTTCCCCTTTTTAGTGTATCAGCTGCTGCTGCCCGATAGCGCTCGCTGAACCACATACAACTAGATAAAAGTGTCAGTATAACAATTTTTTAACAATTTGCCCATCTCTAGGTGGTGACCGCATCTCTGCATATGTGTACTGTACATCTGCTTCTATTGTAGTTGGTGTGATGCCATTATCTGGATTCATTTAGGAAAAGTCTGGAGAGCTATAGGTGGACTTCACACATCTAAGCGGTGCTGTATTGCACATTTCTACAATGCAAGTTAAAATGATACTAAACCCTGGAACCTGCATTTACTATATCTGCTCTCCCACGGTACACACAACATGGAAATGTAATTGTTTTAGTAAATAGAAACTAATAAATACCTTTTCTCATCAGCAGTTAGAGCAGTCTTGTGACTTCAGCAGAGCACTGGTTGAAGCTTGATTTTTTCTACTCTAGTAGGATTTGAAAGTCCTGACCCTCTGTCTGGCCAGTACTGAATGCCCTGTGCTCATCACATGCATTCTCCCAAGAAAAAAAGAAAACCTCTCTAGCAATAAACACCAGACTAGGCATGTGCATGTGATTATGGATTCAGTCTGTATCAGGTGGTTATTTCAACAAGAGGAGGCACAGAGAAGAAAGGATCAAACAGCCTTTTTACACAATGCAGAGGATTAACCTCTTAGGTTCCACAGTGAGTATAACAAGCATGCTTTACTGCATATACAGACTGATTTTACTGTTGTGGGTTTAATAACACTTTACTGCACATCACTTTGTGTGGTACATTGCAGTGCAATTCATTTAATATGGCATCCAAAGCACAAGTATAGTAGCTTGCCATGCATTGTGGTGTGCTGTGCTAAAAAAAGACTATTTTCTGTGTCCATTCTGATACAATGGCAGCCCATTTAAAATCTTTAAACATTTAAAAAGAATTGACTGAATTAATAAATATGTAAACCCAACATTTCATATTTCTGATATGTGCCTGCTGTACCGTGTACTTGTATAAAATAGTATCCTGTTCTCTTTGTATTGCTTCCTTTCTGTGAAATCCCTGGTGTTCCTGCCAGTCCCTCTGCTTTCCTATTAAACACTGACCACACTAGGCAGGAGAGCACAGCTTGGTTAGTTTTCTGGCTGTGCTGGGAGCTAATCCAATGATCAGGCTTGCGCTGACATGCCCCCTCTTGCACAGCCATTCACTGGGAAGATCAGTGTGCTGTTGCTGCTTTTTCTCCCCCAGCTCTTATGCAGCTGGGAACAGAGTGTATATGATCTATTATAAAAAGTGTAAAAAAAAGGTATTTATAATGTTGTTTATGTATATATATAAATGTTTTGCCTTGCATTTCTATTTTAAATTGAATGGGTTGTTTTACAAGGTGAGGGTTTACATATACTTTAACGCAATGTAAGTTAAGCAGCAAAATATTATATGTTAATGTGGGGTTAGTAATGTACTCTATAATAAAGGAAACGTATTAAGGGGGCCTATGTTGTAAAGCGCTGCGTAAACTGTTGGCACTATATAAATCCTGAATAATAAAAATAATAAAACTTTGCTTGTGCAAACATTGCCATAGACAATGGCCTCTGGACCCTCATATCCAGCAGATCTGTTTGCACATGGTGTGATCCCAGTGCAACCTAAAAATCTTTCAGATTAAGTTATTGTATCTTAGATGGTATACATCCATTAAAATATTAAATCATTTAAAACATTTACTGGAAATCTAAACATCAGTGAGAGTTAAAATTAGTGTTCAAATATTTAAAAAAAAAAAGTGAACTTGCATTGCCACATTACTACACAGAAGGGTTACATTTAAAACTTTACAGCTGCTAAGAAAATATTAGAAGTGTAAAATCAGAATGGAGCTACAAGGATCAAAGCTGTATTTCAAAGACAAGTTAAATCCATGTTCCCAAAAGTTGGCTGTGAACTAACATTTTCTTAACAAGAAGTAACACAAATGGTAACAGGGTAAGGCATCATTCATCTGTTAGTTTATCCTCTGTTAACTGCTATTCCAGATGTTAAAAAAGGCATTTGCGTCCTATCTCTTCGCTGAAGAAATTTTATTAGACAATGAGATCATGTCCTATGTGGAGCAGTTATTTCTGCCAGTTGCATGAAAGACGATTATAGGCAACACTAGTGAATCATAAATATTAATACAAAGGTATCCTGGATTGATGTGTTCAATCCATGTATAGCAATCCCTACCATAGTCCCATGGTGTTTGTTCTAAATCCTTTGAAATATACTACCCAGCATTATGAAGAGAAAGTAAAGGAACAGCTTGACATACTGTATGTATTTATTAAAAGGTTTCTACTGGGCAGAATTATATACATCTCCCTATTGTAGTGAATACAATGAAATATATACAGTATCTTACTCTGCTTAGCCCGTCTGCAACATTAGCACAAAGTGTACATTGCTAAATTTCTGCATGTCTGCACAATACAGATGAAAATATAAAAGTCCTGACCAATTCAACCCATCGCGCTAAATTTTTCTAAAATAAATATTATAATTTACCCTTTTGTACAATCTTTTCCTGCTGTAATTCAGAGTTATTATTATTATACAGTATTTATATAGCGCCAAAAGGTTTGCTCAGTGCTGTACATTATAGTGGGGGACAGTACATGAGACAATACAGTCACAAAACAATACACAAGGGGTTCGAGGGCCCTGCTCTTTCGAGTTTCCAATCTAGGAGGGAGAGTTATAAGGGTTCATGTGCACTGCAGCTGATAAACTCACGTTCTGGAGCTTTTCTGCGTTTTTTTCAGCAGCCCCTGAACTCTCCCTAATGTTTTCCTGTGTGTCCATGTACACTATGTCATTTACAGTTGTTTTACAGGCAGTTGAGTTTACAGTAGTTTTTTGAATGCACCAAACTTGCGTTCAGGAGTAGATTTTATCAGCGTTTCAAATGCCAAACGTGGCTAACCGTGTTTATAAGCGTTTGCGTTTAGAAGCATTTTTTAACTGTTCCATATCCAAATGCTTTTCATCATTAGAAATCCATGCAAAGCATTTTCCATGTATTCAAATGGACCTAGCACACCAGAGCAGTCAGTTCCAGGTTTTGCGTGAAGGAAAAAATGGTAGAACGTGACGCATTATGCTCATGATGGGATCCATAGTGAATACAACCAGAAAAGATAGGTAATCTCAACACATACTGCTCTCTCTGCTTCTGCTCTCTCTATTCTCTCACAAAATGTCTGAATTAGTTAATTTGTTACTGCTTTTCAGTCCATTCTGGGCATTCTGGAAGGTCTCCGGATGTTATCTTTAAAAAACGCTTCTAAATGCAAATGCGCATAAATGCGGTATGCAAACGCAGCTAAACAGACATTTTTTAACCTACGTTTTTCCAGCAGTCAGTTTCCATCATTCATAAGTGTTTTCCAAATGTCCCGTGTACATGAACCCTAAGGGTCTGTTCACACAGCCATCACCTGGTCCATGAACAGATTCCCTGCTAAATTGAAGCAGAACGGGGGAGATGTCCATTTTATGACATCTGTGTCTGTTCAGTTTTTTCTGCAT